AGCGTAGTTGAAGGTCATAGGCATTCACGCATAGATGACTGGTTCTTGAGATATATAGTGTTAGAAATTCTGGGACAGACTCCGGATATTGGGATTGGTACTTTTGTTATGGGTTTATAAATATGGGTCAGGACTAAGGAATACGGTCACTGTTTAGTTACAGTTTAGGTTACGATTGTTTGGAATTGGGAATAAGAATAATGGTTGTCAGTGACGGGGATGTTGACGGTGGAAACTATGTGGAGGAACGAATCACGTTGGTACTAACTGGTGGATAAGTAATTATGGAGGAGTGGTATGGGTAATGCACAAGGAAAATAAATTAAAGAATTAAATTCAAAAGAAATATAAATCAAAAATTAAAGATCAAAATAAATTAAAAAGACAAAACAAACAAAGTAAATAAAAATGACAATCAAAAAACAAAATGGCGGAATGGGTATTATTGGGAGGATAGAGGAGGAGCGGAGTTCTTAGATATAAGTTGGGGGAGGTGGTTCAAGGTTACTAGGATGGGGTCTCTTATTCAAGTTGGGGGAGGTAGTCACCAAATCAATTTTTCTTCTATACAAATTTCTCATCAAGATTTTTTTCAGTGAAGATCAAGATTTTTTCTCAGTGAAGCTGAGGACAGCTTGGAAGTTGGGGGAGGATGTGGAAAGCAAATTATATGGGAGCATATTTAAATCACTTTTTTCTTTCAAAACTCATACTTATATTTTATTGGATCATTTCAAGACTCATACACTTCAAGTTTAGGATTTTCTTTTTTTTCACTTGAATCAATTTTTTTATTCAAATCAAATCAATCATTTCATTGCATTTTTTTTTCACTAAAACATCACCTTTGGTACTCAATTGATAATCAACACAAAGAAGAAAAAATCTAACAAGATCAGATGGAAAGAACATAATTAAAAGAAATACACTAGATAGAGATAATAATCAATGAAAGGATAAAATAAAAATTTGAAACACAAGCAACATTAATCAGAAGGGGAAGAGATGATAGAAAGAAAAGAGTAAGACAGAACTTACTCACCAGAAAAAAAATAGTAGTTGAGTGATATTGATTGAAGATAGCAAATTAGAATCAAAGAGGATCTATGGATCAATTTAAAAGCAAAACAAATTAAATAGGATCAAGTAAAAGAAAAAAGACAAGGAAACTTACTTACAATCAAAAATATTTAAATTGGAAATTTGAACTTGGTCAAGATGAGATTGATTGATCTAGTAAATCAATAAATCAATATATAAAAAATTAAATTAAAAATTAAATTATAATTAAAAGTTAAACTTAATTTAAATTGAAGCCGAGCGATCTAAAAAGCTAGAGTGATGAAATCAAAAGAAATAAAATTCAAATTAATTAGTTTTTGATATTTGAATCAAATCAATCAAAAGAAGGAAAAGAAAGGAGGGATGAACTTACAGTGAGCTGAAGTTCAAAATTGAATCGGACCGAACGATCTAAAACAAAAATACATAACTATAAAATTAAAAATTAAAAAATAAAAATTAAAAAGTGAAACATGTCAGTAAGAGAGGTTGGAAGAGGTTGGAAGATAGGAATGAGAAAAGCAAAAGGTCACTTACCTTTAGGTTTAGGTCAGAAGGAGAAAAGGGGATATAAAAGGCTCGATCGATTCAAAGAATCGATCGATCGTTTGTTCGTAGTAACCAGGGGATTTTTTCGTTTTCTTTTTTTTCATTTTCATTTAGCCTCGGTATCGAATCGAGTCGAGTAGGACTAAAGATAGGAAAAGGGAAGATAAAAAGAAAAGTGAAGAAAGAAAAAAGAAAGAGAGTTAGTAAGAGAAAGAAGAGAAAGGAAAGAAAAAAGAGAAAGAGAATCGAGTCTTTAGAAAAAAGACTTACCTTTATAATTGAGTGTTATAAGGGAAATTGAAACCCTTATAACGGTGAATTGAAAGGGTATAAGGGAATTGGAAATTTGGATTTTGAATTTTATTTTAATTTTTTTATTTTTTGGGGTTTCTGACATTTAAGTCAGAAACCATAAAAGTTAAGGTAGTAAGGGGGTTTTAGGCATTTACAGGTGCAATTAGGTGGATTTCGAAGGAGGTAGGACGTGTAGGGTAGTTTCGGGAAAGTAGAAGTTGGAGAATAAGGTTTTGGAGGAAAAACAAGGTTTTTTATTTTTTTCTCTTGCTGCGGGAAGGTCTTTTTTGAACCTTTATTGGGACGTATAGTAAAAAACAGCTTGTTTACATCTGTTTTTGAATTACGGGACCTTTACGGGGAATATTAAGGCTGAACTAAAGCTTGTAGATTGGATTAACAAGGTTGGAAGCTCAGTTTTGTTGGTGGTACTGTTGGAAAAAAAGGGTTTCGTGTATTTCGAGGGCAGCTTAACAGCACTTTAGTTACAACTCTTGGAGGTTTATTCCCCTTGGGTTTGTTCCTTCCCCTCACAGCTCTGCCTACGCTCCACAGCGTAGGAGTTCTACAACGGCTCCGGACATCATGAAACTTTGCAACATATTGGGAGGGGGTTCTTACAAGCCTTGTACACAAGCTCATGTTACTTTTAGTACCACTTTACTTGGGTGAAGTGACACTGTTGAGTCATTGAATTCTTGTAAATTTGGGTCTTATTCAATACATGGCCTACACATGTGCTTGAGCCCTCCAAAATCACTTGATTTTGGAATCTGATTTTCTCACCATCCAAGAGAGGTGACAGGCTTAAAACAAGTCAAGGAGACGCAGAAGAGGAAGATGATGATTCCCTCAACTTTTTGTGAGGTTTCATGATGTTTAGATATGTCAAGAAACAGTTTAAACAAAATTGCTTGAAAATCTTGATGTTCTCAGGCCAAATTTGAGTTTGAAATCATAAGCCCCTCTTTGAGGACAAGCAAACACACTTGTGACTGGAAATTTTGCTTGGCAGCCAGTGATTGTGCATCAGGATTCTGAACCGGAGTGAGACTAGCCTCAGCCAGACTGCAGACAACAAATCCTGTGTGGGGTGCCTGAGTGGAGCATGTGTTCAATTTTATATTTGTAGGCTATCATAGCACTCCAAACAAGAATCAAGACAGTTTACAAGATGACATCACAGCCTATATATCAGCTCGCTCAACAAATGCCCCACCAGCCACATGTGCAACTGTCAGTGAGATTATATAACTATATGCTGGAGTTTCAAAAATACTTGTTTTGCTCTCAAAGCTGGTTTTTATTTTGCAAAATACTGCCAGGGATGAGGAGGCAGTACAAGGATTACAAGAGTGCTGAAGTTATTGCACAGAGCAATCCTGACATGATATGATAATGTAGCAATGCTATTGCTTACCTGATTTAAAGTGGACAAGATAAATACAACAGCTGCTGCTGCCTAGAGTTTGTGTTGTTGAAGACTGAAATGAAAGACTGGTATGACAAAATCTTAAAATACTGAGCAAAGAAAAGAATAGATCAAGAAAGAGGAACACAAGGGTCAAAGATTGAAAATAGAAGTCCACACTCCAACCCACTTGTCAGCCCTGAGTACATACACATGTACCCAAAGACTCACATCTGATATATAATAAAACACTAGTAGCATCTCATAGCTCAGTATCAAGTCAGGTGGTGGGCGCGGCGCATTTGGCGCGTCAAAGGGCGCGCCCGCCCAGGCGCGCCAAGCGCGCCAAATATTTTCAGAAACAGGGGGGTGGCGCGCCCATACGCAAGACTAGGATAATCTGAGGGTTAGAAGGTCTTGTCGGGCCTGATCTTGGGCTAGAAGACATCTATATCATTGCAATTTTGGGCTGTTTAACTTTTAAGCTAGAGAAAGCCCTATAAATGAGACCTGCTCCAGATATTTGTGCTATCAGACGTTCATCTGAGTTGCAGGACCCTTAAAATGGTTCTTGAATGAAGATGCTCTCTCATTCTTATCTCAAAAATGTTGCTTGAAACAGCTTTTCTCGCGTCCCCAGCTGTGTTTGAGCTTCATCGCTGCCTTTTTTGCTGTTTTTAAGAAGAAAAATTTCATTTTTTTGTGTTTTTTGCTCAAAAGGCGCGCCCACACGCCCCCTGCTATTTGGGCGCGTCCTAGACAAAGGATTCTGCGCCTGGGCGCGCCTCTCGCTGGGAAAACTGCACCCACCACCTGAGTATCAAGAGTTGATTATGCTTATAGCGCATAATACACTTAACAAAAGCATAAAGTATTGTTAAGTACACATAATAAATAAAAATGATAATTAGTGATCATAAACCTAATGTTGTAACAATTGTACATATCACAACATTAGGTTTAGAATACAAGGATATAATCCATAATTTTGTCTATCCCAAACTGAAGAATCAAGTTTAATATATATCAAATTCTGAAGAACATCAAGTGCTCCAAGAAGTTATTAATCAAAAGTATTATCAATATAATACTAGCAATTCACTTCAATCTCACTCACAGTTTCCTGATTAGAATTAAGGTAAGTAACACTTCACATCCTGATCCCTCATCCTATATCCTTACTAGGTTGGTGACCGCTCAGATAATAACCATAGGTTGGTGACCTCTGAGTGATAACCAAGTTAGTGAACTTCAATCACTCCTTATCTCTAGTCAGACAATATTGAGAAGCTCAAGGATCAAGCTTTGGTTCTATTATATTCCATACTATATTTCATATTGTATGTAAATCTCTTTATAAAGAGTCATCTAAATGTAGTCTGCCAGGATTTTTCCCAGCAGACCACAAGTCCTTATCATTTCCTTCATCATATTTAGTAATTATTATCAGCTCAATAGATACTATAATAATTTCATTAGCTTATCTAATAGTAGTTGAGTAAATAATCTAATATTTAGTGAGAGTAGCCTCAGCAGAAAGAGTAACAACCCTCACACCACTAGACCCCACTGCATTGAAAGTGTATATTTATATGGTGATTTATAGAACAATAGCCACTAACAAGTGCAGAGATGACTAACTGCAATATGTTTATTCACACTTATAAGGTGCATGGCAAGGCAGGCTCCCCTAGTCTAAAGGTAGGGCGTAGGACTTCTATCTACACAACTGTGGTGATCCAAAGATTGCGGGTTCAACCCCCGCGGGGAGTGCTTTTGCATGCTGGGGAGCTACTTCCAGCACCCTGGAACCAACCATTTTGACTGATGTCCTCTGATGCTTCAGCCATCTGAAGCTGTTTTTTGATTTGTCCACTTCATCTCTTAATGAGGGCTTTCAAAAACTTGATATGCTCTTCTGCAAATACTTTTGCATGTTGAGTATGTATTTCATGCAAAACAGAATGCCCTGCATAGCTTGGAGCTGCATAAAACATGGTGAAGGATAGGTCTTAAGTTCTGTTGTAAAAGCCTCAAAAAAATTGAGCCTTCTAGATAAACTTCTTCAATTACGGGATACACATCAAAAACATGGGATACCTTCTGGGTTTTTATCCAGAAATCTAGAATCCCAGCTACAAGTTGGATTTTGGGAAAAAAACCTGATAGTAGTTCCATGGCCAGTTGTCTGTCCAGTTCATCTTCCCCACACCACATCTATTTGCTACTTGAACCACGCTAACTTGTATCTTCACATTGACAATCACATCTTCAGAAGGTATACCATTGGAATCAAGGTATTTGAGTTTCAGTGGAGGACAAAAACAGAAGTGGATGAAAAGGAGATGGTATTGTGGGATCATTGGGGATTCAAAGTTGAGTCTTCCCTAGTAGAAATCCAGAATCCAAATTACAGCCAAAATGGGATTCTGGATTTCTGGAAAAAAAAATCCGAAAATTTATCCTGGGTTTTTAATTTGTATCCTGTAAATGAAATTTGGAGACACAAAAACACCAATGTTATATATTGGGATATCCCTTTCAATATGAACCAGTTTGTGAGGTACAAAAATATGTACAAAGATGTAAAGGATAACATGTAGCAAAAAAATCAAAAAACTCATGCAATGAGACTTAACAGCTGGAGGTCACCAGCCAAGATTTTTTTCCCATTGCGCATAGGTTGCTTTTTCCTGTTTCAGGGCATGGACATGGAGGTGCATAATGCTTAGTCAGGATCACCTTGTGGTCATGATATGAGGCAAAGTCCTTTGCATCCTTTGCCAAAGATGGACACAGAAGTACATACAGGCCTGCAGATAGCTGTTCAAGCAGGCATAAAATCTGACCACTAGTTCTTTACAACCAACAGGAATATCTTTAATCAAGTCAAAAGCAGCTATTTGTGCATAGCAGATATGGTCCAATAAAAAATTCATAAGACTGCTTGGTCAAAGTCCATAAGAACAAAGCCACAAACCATACTGTACACAGGGTAATTTGGTGGATAAACATCTGGGTCATAATCTGTTTCAGTTACAATATTCTCATCGAAAACACACCACACCTTTTTTGGTGATCACCTATTGGAATGAGCATATGTTGATGTATGATATCTGTTGAGTACATTTGATATATCTAACAGCTTTCTGGGGTTGGATTCACAACTTACATAGGAAAGGTCACATCACACCAAAACCAGGATGAGTCTTGGTTAGCTTACTCCATGGATATGATCAATGAGTCAAACTGATGAGAGGTTGAGTTAGAACCTTGGGACAATTCTGATGTGGGAGGTGAAAAGTGATGAATGTTGGGGTTGGTTTGTATATAAGTAGAGCTCATACAAAGAAGTGAGTTATCACAATCCTACTCCTGCCTAGCTGGATCTATATTGGGATAGAGATCACGTAGACAGAGGGCTGTTTGGACCATGTGCCCATTGATTAGACATAAAAATACCAAAAGAAGAAGTTTTATTGTAAGAAGTACAATGAAAAAATGTAACATGAGTATAAAAATAAAGTTTTGGGGTCAGGTACAATCCTCTATCATAAATTGTACACAGTACACAAAATATGAGAGCTTTTTGATGAACAAAAAACTAAAACTAAAAGTCCCTGCATAAGATAGGATTCATAAAATATAGTGCTAATGTGAGCCTGTCTTTAGCATAGAAACACAAATGTGACAATTCCAAAGCCCAGTGAAGATAAATTCAACATATATAAATCAACGCTTTATACACATTCATATCCCTCTGGGCATCCTCCACCTCCTTGGGTCGCATTTCCTGTAATATCATTGCCACCAAGTGACCCATCGGATCCCTGTGAACCATACTGATCCGCCTTTACAATGCCGAGATTATTTTCATTTGGCGCATTTGTAAGATTCAAATTTTGCTCATACAGAAGATTGGTGAGATTTGCACTTGGCTTATCCTCGATGTTGATGGTACTGGTACTCGGCTTGTTTTCAATATTGGTGATGTTGTAAATCGCCTGATTCACAACATTAACCTGCGCAGCAGGAGTTGTCCCTCCGGCGGCAACCTGAGAACCGAATGATCCAGGCGCTGATTTGCCGCTAGATGAAACAGGAGATGGCTTAGTGGCAGGCGATTTCACCCCAGGGACACTCGGACCACGCGTTTGTGAAGGCGTTTGCTGACGATTTCCACCTGGCTGGCCGCCATATCCCATGGTTGGTACTCCGAATCCACCTGTAGGTCCAACCCCAGGAGACATTCCACCATAGCCGCCTATGCCTCCCCCGAATCCGCCTATGGCTCCACCATATCCGCCTATAGCTCCACCATACCCTCCTATAGCTCCACCCGATATTCCCATCCCACTAGGAAACCCGCTTGGAACACCTCCGTATGAAGCACTGATTGCACCCATGAAGGCTGTTTTGCGAATTATGAACATGAGCCGTTTGAAACAAATTCTGTATTTTGACAATGGATCTCAAGAGCTCGAAATTGATAACCAGACCTACCTAAGGCGTTTAAATCCTCACTGCAACTGGCACATGAACACGTCGGACATCGTCCCCTGACTAATCAAAGGTATGAAGGTATGATAGATTGAGACAAATTCTTTCACTTGATATTTCAAAGTGAAAGGAAGCATGAGACTCACGTCTAGTCCTTTTTGAAATTCTGTGTCGATATTCGCTAGAAAGTTGGTGTACATCGGTTCTATCTACGCCAGTCGTCATTCCAGTAAGTTCAGAAGTTCTGTGGACCGTGTTGAATCATACATGAAGTTATGCGATCAGGAGATAGTTTCCATCAGTGACACAGTGATATAGAGGATAGCCAAGGAACAGTCGAGGACCTTACCCGGATGAGACCTCAGTGTTGGTGGGGAGCAGGACATCGGCGGATGTTCTTACCATATAAATCGGAGTAACTGATTTCGATTTTCTGGGTCAGCTCGAGTTCAGTGCGAGTCATATCATGTTAGACTTACTAGACAGGAAAATGAGTTTTACAAAAAAGGGCGAGATAGGCCGCATTTTGTTGAATATGAAGTGTCGGCGGCCAAACAGGTCTAAGAGAACAAGATTGTTCACGCGGCTTTAGTATCACAATTATTTTATTGAAGTAAATTATGAAAAGAGCGAACTGTTCTGATCCAAAGACTGGAATAAAATTACAACCTCATTTTGACTCTCATAAGCATTCCTGAAATTGCTCATCCAGTAATTATGAGCAATTTCGAGGTTGTCTGATGAGTCATCATATCAAGGCAACGTTGCGTATTATCAAGTGGCATAGCTATCAGAAGCGACTGCTTCTGATCGACAAGTGCTGATTAACTGCTCCATCACGATATTACAAAATTTGTGGATGATTCGCAGGATGCCTGTTCGCCTTGGATTTCGAGGACGCTGGGAAATAAGTTTCAAGTCTGATTCTAATTGATGGTGATTCAAGATCAAGTGTGAGGATCACAAATTTCCATCTCTCTTCGCTGAGAATTTCATCTATGTACGATATGGCAGCCAGACAATTGTCGAGTGTTGTTGCAATGCAACCGCTACAGAATGTCTGAGCTGACTCTGATGATGGGAATTTATTAATCCAAACAACGTCGAGAATACGAAAATGATTGGTTCTTGGGACACACAGTTGTCAACTCGATAGAGGCTTCCACCCTTTGGAAATAAATCGAGAAAGGCCAATCGTAAACGATGAACATGTTTGAGCAATTGCTTGACAAGGGTCACAAAGATTCTCAGCGAAAATCAGATGCGCAGCTTGGGCCTTGTGAGTGAGGTTGAAGACGACTATAAGCATATATGCTAAAAAGGAGTCTATGGCTATCAGTACAAGGATCGAATGTCTATACATGGAGCTGCTGTGGTCATTATTACAGTATGACTCATGACAACCTATGAGGGGGCTGATGGTAAACTTCAGAATTACCACTTGAACGTCATCAACTAATCTAAACCAAAAATGCCCAGTAGTCACACTTGTCAACCAGTTTTTGACTATATCGATGCTAACAGCGCCAACCTGATCGACCGGCTGAAGCAAGCGGTGGCAATTCCCTCAGTATCTGGTGATGCGATTTATCGTCCTGATGTATTCAAGATGGCAGATTGGCTTGATGCTCAGCTTCAAGCACTAGGTGTCAAGTAAGGATCCATTTGTCAAAGGACCGACTTCATCACCTTTCAGATTGATTAGATTCCAGCAGCCAATCATTCACCTTTGTGCTAACGACGACTGATTTGAAACAGAACAGAGAAAAGACCTTTGGGCAAACACGTCATGGACGGACAAGAGTTAGATTTGCCTCCAATCATATTAGGACAATTCGGGAATGACCCCAAGAAGAAAACTATCTTGGTATACGGTTCGTCTGCGTCTACCAGGGGATGACACAGCCGGTGATGAAGAGCTGACGTGATTGTTATTCTTCAGGCCATTTTGACGTGCAACCTGTGGGTTCATGCAACGTAATATAGACTCATCGACACTGTTCGATACTGATCAAGCTGATCACATGTATATCAGGCGCTTAAATCTGATGGGTGGAACACAGAGCCATTTGAGTTGACGCATGATGCCAAAACCGATAGACTTTATGGCAGAGGAAGTTCGGACGATAAGGTTTGTGTAATGCATTGTCTGTGATTATGAAGAGAGTTAACTTTAGCTACTATGTTTAGGGTCCTGTGCTGGGTTGGCTCAATGCAATCGAGGCTCACTTGAAGACCGGCACGGAGTTCCCGGTTAACTTGAAGATGGTTTT